AGTTTTCAATAAATCAATAAATCAGAAAGTGATAAATGGGCTCACTGTGTGTCATGACCATGGCGAGTTTTTTTGTTTGTTTTTTTTTTTTTTGAGAGGGGAAGGGGGATGCAATTCAACCCCCCTCTCTCGCGCGACATGAAGAAGGTAGGCGATTCGCTGTACAAAGCCCCTGTATGATGGGGGCAACCCACCGAACTCGACTCCTTCCTCCTCGTCAGCCGGACCTAAAACTAAAACATCGCCTGCCATGAGCAGTCATGACAAACACAATGCCATAGCATAGGCGCTGGCGTGGCCCCATGCGTTCGTGCTACCCCTTGCTCTGCCGAGCCCCGCCCCGCCACGTCACACCCACCCCAACAGGCCCCGGAGAGAAACCCCGACTGGTGGCGTGACAGGAGTCTTCGCGTGCTAGACTTTCCGACACCCACCCCGCCAACGAAAAGTCTAAAGGATGGATGGATGGATAGATAGATAGATAGATAGATAGATAGATAGATAGATAGATCGTCGGTCGGCACCGCACGCTCGGCGCGCTGCCATGGGGTGAGCGAGTCGAGCCGGCAGAGCGTGAGGAGGGGGAAGGTCCCGCGACAGTGGTGCCATCCGCCGGCAAAGAGATGAAGCTGCTGGCGCGGCGGGCGACACCAGCGCTCCCCGTGGCCGCGCCGGACAGCTCTCGGCGGAGCATGGCCGCGGGAGGGCGGAGCGGAGGGAGGGGGGCGGGGCAGCCGACCAGCCCCGCCAGATCGATCGTGAGGCCGGGAAGGGATCTCGACGGCATCGTCCCGAAAAGCCAACACTCCATGTCTAATGTTTTAGACAACCACCCACCGGTATCCTAAACTTAATGAGTAACGCAGATTCAGCAGACCAATGTAAAACCGATCTTTTTAAAATTTAAATTGTAGTACAATAACTTTGATTTTGAAGTAGTACATTGGCGTGGAGGATAAAGACAGGCTTAAATTTACCAAGAAATTCGTTAATTTTCCGGACACAGTCGTAAACATACAAATTGCTACTCGTTGAAGGAACTTAGTCGGTTTATAATGTTGTAAATTTGTGTGAAATTTTTCGACTTGAATTCGAAATTTAACAATTATTTAATTTTGCAGTTTCATCTTACAAGATTATACCTGTACGACACTCATTATGATGGCAAAGACCCCATAAACCTAAGAATGTTACTCACTTTGTATTTTACACATCTTGCGCGAAGAGAACAAATTTATGTCCTCCATAGTTAGCATGTTGGGAGTTGATTTGTTTCACGGTTAAAAATTTTGTTGTAAATTTACAACAGATTTGATGTAAAGTTTGATAGCAAACAAATATTGTTAAAAAACAACACCTGTTATAATCCAACAACATTCACAAAGTTTTCTAAAACAAATTTTCATTCCAAAACAGTGGTTATTTACCTCCGCCTGCACCAAAAATTTGTAATAAAACAAACTTGTTCGTTCTGTAACGATTCATCTTGCTACCAAAATTTACAATGGTTTTGTTGTGGTGTTACAACATGGTGAAAAGTAGGAAATCATTACTATGGACCACTACGGGCAAAATAGAAGGAATTTTGACACGTGCTAATAAAAACGAATGATGTTGTGTTTTAACAAACTGGTCATTACAAAGAGTGTGATAATTTGACAATATTTTTTTAACTGTGTTCCTTCCCTTGCCCCCGGTATGTCGTAGCTACAGTTTTTTTTTTTTTTTTTGAAACTGTGCTCTAGTCGCTTGTGACCTTGCTGGACCTTGGGGGCAGCACGTCCACTGGGGACCCGGCCCCTATAACGCCTATAAACTCCAGGCGCCCCTAAACGCGCCCTGCGATCGCAGAGGACTCTCGAGGAAGGGAAAAGACTGCGAGGGAGGGGATGAAACGTCTTGAGGACCAACTATTTCGACCAACAGCAGGTTCCTTCTCAGGCACAAAGATCACTCGGCGACCACCCCAAGCTCCTTGAAGATCGGAGCATCCTCTCCTCGTCGTCTGCCCCACTGTGCCGAGCTGGCCGTGGCCTCGGAGGCCCCTACCGTCCCCTTTAACCATCTCCAAGCAGCAAGAAAGTGCTCAGCCTTTTATGATCCAATGAATGGCGATCAGGGAGTCGGGAGTCGACCCGCTCACCCCGTAGGGCCCAATCGGTTCAGAATATAAGCAGTGTGGGCCCACGATGGAAACGGCAACGGCGTCAGCAAAAACAAGTGGCGTGAGAAATTTTTAACATTTCAATTTGGTTTCTATTACTTTTTTGAAGTTTAGTTTTAGAAACGTCGACAACAAACCCACAATTGGTTTTTCAACGCTTTTGAACACAACGAGGTTTGACAATTTTGCTGAAGTAGTTCGTGACTACTTGCCACTTGATTGTTCATCTCTTATCTCAGAGGGTCACCATTAGACAGAAATAGGATTAAAATCAGAAGGCATTCGGAGGGCGCGTCCTTGAGTCTGGGTGAGTATGCCCGCCTTTCTGGGAAAGCCGCTCTGCTCGTTTTTGCTCGGGTCCGGCCGGCGCGTGTGTGCGGCCGCGCTGCCCGCTCCCAGGAGGTGGAGCCCCGGCCGCCGGCCGAGGAGACCTCAAGTCACGCTTCAACACTCATGCCACCGCACCAGAGGCACCAGACCGCTGCTTTGTTTGCAGGCAACTCGCTGCCGCCGCCGACTGACTTGTCGACTTCATATCGCCGTGCGGACACCGTGACGCGGATCAGAAACTCTTCAAGGATTTCTATAACTTCCCAAAAGTCAACAGAGCGTTATTTAAAGTACACGAAGCGTAAATTTTCTAGTCAAAGTATGAATGACTTTTACCATTTACCCTTTACAGTGAAAATTAGAGTATATTAGAATCTTCGGCCAAACTCCGGAGTCATCTAAGACAGAAATTGAAAGACTCGATGGAGAGAATGGGTGGGCCGAGTTCCAGAGCCCCGTTCAAGGACGAGTCTTCTTGTCTGCTCGCTGTGGCGATCCTCAGCCCGACTCACGCGTGTCCCCTATTCAATGACGCCGTTGTCCTTCGGCGGAGCCTTTTGCCTGCTCTAACTTTTTTTTGGCTCTCGCGCTGTCCAAGACGGTGTGTGCTGCCAGCTCGGTCGGTCCTGGCGGCATGGGCGTTGTTCCCTCTGGTCCGCGCAGTAAACCAACCCCTTCCCCTCCCCCTTTCCCCTCTCCGAGCCCCCTACGCCCCCCTGGGGCCCACACACACCACACTGCATAAACAAAACGGCTACCTGCACTGCAGCGTGTCGCGCCTCGCTCGGATTGCGTTTTAATGAGATGAAGCCCCATTAGACCCACTACATACCCATTCACCCTCAAAAGAGAAAAAAAAACGTTCCAGAACGCGATCGATGGACAGCGTTAGGGTGTTGCGATTGTTTTGGTGTGAAAAAATAAAAGTGCTTAAACAAATCTAACAGTTCATTTTTTTTTCAAATCTGTTAAAGTGTGGGTTCTTTGCTATGGGTTTAGGTACCTCGTGATAGAGATGTCGAAAATCTTACTGGTTAACGCCTAGGCACGTATAGGTTACTTTCGGTCTATAGAGACAATGCGATAGTTCAAAACATACGGCTAGGATACTGCACACCGTTTGCACGATGAAAATACATTCAAACTCTTTAGCAGCCTATCCAAATCCGCAGGCATAACGATACATTTTCGGCAGTTCAAGCAGAAACTTTTCGAATTTTTGATCTATCTCGACGGCATTCACTTTGCAAATGAGAGATCAAAGAATTTCCTGAACTTTGTCTTTTGTTGATTTTTACAGGTCTTTTCCCATAAACTATATTGTTGCTGTACGGCTAAGATGGTTTTGGCGGTCAAAACTTTTCTACAATAAACTTATTTACTTTTTTCTCCAACATGGGCTACCGTGAAATGCGTCGGCGGGCTTTGCAAAAGGGCGAGCTGGAGTGCAGCGGGCAGCAGCGGCTGGAGCAGAAGGCGGGGCGCGCACGGAGAAAAAGACACAGCGGCGCGAGGCAGCGTCAGGGGCGGCCAGCACAGGAATTCAAAATGGCGGACGGGCGGCGTGGCCAGCACAGGAGGGGCGGGGGGCCCAACACGCTTATGAATAGCCCACGCAGAACGTTCAAAACGAACACGCTCTCTCTCTCTCTCTCTCTCTCTCTCTCTCTCTCTCTCACACACACACACACACACACATACACACACGCAGGGGCACGCCTACGAGGATACCATACGCCGCTGAATGCCAGGCCCGAGTTCCTGATCTCGTCCGACACTTCCCACCCGCCAAAGAGTTCAGGGTTCAAAGACCCCTCTCTGCGGCTGGCTCGCTCTCCGCGAACTGCTCAAGTGAGCGACATTTTACAACGGTTGTTCAGACAGAACGAAGAATGACGATGTTTGGTTCGAAAAAACTTGTACCGAAAATATGTTTCGAGTTTTCCAAAAAGGTTTTCTTTGAATAGTTCGAAATAATCTTGAAAGTGGTCACCTTTCTAGCACGTGCCCGTCTGCCGCCTCTCTCTCCCTCTCTCTCAACCACCAATAATCTGTGGTAGAGTTTGGGGCGCGCACGGGCGCACGCCGCCAGACTACGCCAGTCCACGCCGCAACGCCACCCGGCAAACGTGTCATTCAGCAAACGACCCACAATCCCCGTAATGTCTTGCTTTAGCTTGCGGCAGGTCGCGTTGCACTTTTATGACTCCGCCTCTCCCTTTTTTCCCTTAGGAAACAGTAAAAATAACACTTTTTGTAATCGCAATTTCGTTTTACAAGACGACCGTTTCCTCGCTAGAGTGGGCCGCTTGCTCTCTCTTTCACCTGCTACGTGGATACACCCCTCTCCACTCTCTCACTCCCTTGTCCGCTTTACCCTCTTTTTTTGCCCTCTTCCGGCTGCTTCGGTCAGCAGGGCTCGTGGCTCTCGTTAAGTCACTCAGCAAATATTTGCGCGTCCCAATGGTAAGTGCGGGCGCCTAAACGCTGCTCATTAGCGACTCACCGTGTGGCGCTCAGCGAAGCGCTCAGCGCTCAGCTCGGCGGCAGACTCTCCATCGCGGAACTGCAACAGACAGGCCGGAGACATGGCTTCAATGGCGGGGAGCACTATGTCGTGGTGGTTGGCAAGCGTGCTGCCGGAGAGAGAAATGTTTTCTCACTTTAGGTAAATTTTGACCTGAGAACAATTTTGTTTAAGTGCTGTAACTCATGAAAAAATCGTCTTGTGTCAAGAAAAAAAACCTGTGGCCACTTTTCTTTCAAAGTTTACTTGAAACAAGAAATCTTTCTTCTATATGTAACGAGAGCCTTTGCAGTATACTAGGAAGCAAAGAGCTAATAAGCATTTGCAAAAGTGCCGCTGAGAGTTGGTGAAGAGTTCGAACGTCCCCAGGAGCAGGATTAAGACAGGCGGTCAGCAGTCATTTGCGACCATGGTCCTCAGAACGCGCATGCTGCGTTGAATAGTTACGTCAATTATTGCAAACGGCGGACTGACTAGATCAATTTTCAAAGGAAAACGTTATGGTCGCCAAAGTAATGAACAATAACTTTACTTGATAATTAAACAAAAGCACGTGTGCTCGCGTGAGTCTTATCTTGGTGGTTTGCCTGGACGCTCCTCGACATCAGAGCTAAATACGAGAAAGTTATCTTTCGTAATGGCGCGGCGACGGGGAGAAAGTAACCGATTTATCGCAAAAAATACTATAAATTGCACGAAGAAAGAGGACAAGAGACAGGTGGAAAGCGAGAGGGGAGTAAAAAGGAGGGAGGAGGCGCAAGGATATCTCTAGGAAGGGCAAGATGAGGGGGTGAGGACAAGTTGAGGTCAGGAGCGATCAGAGGTTTCCAACAAACGTCCCATCAGGGTCCAACATAAAAGATCTGGCAGTAATGCTGATTTATGTTCAACATAAAATTACGTCGACAGAAGGGAGAAGAACAAGAGGCGTGCAGGGGACAGAAGAAGAAGAAGAAGAAGAAGAAGAAGAAGAAGAAGAAGAAGAAGAAGAAGAAGAAGAATGGGAAGAAGACGGGGAAGAAGAAGAAGCGGAAGAGAGAAAAGGAGACCAGCAAGAAAATCCATAAATTCTAGGAAGTGAGCCGTGCAATTCCAAGATGGTTGGGTCGTGGGGCGCCGGCGCTGAGTGGGTGGGAGGGGAGGAAGGAGGCACGAGGCAGAAAAATAACATAAATACTGTTGGAGCTTGACAACTTTTTTCCTCCAGTTTTCTACCAGTTGTTAAACGTAGCTTTATACACATAATTTTTCCAGCTTCCAAAATGGATCTTAAGCGATTTTTTAAAATTAAAAGTGATTCTGTTCTCGCACGCGCATGATACTTAATTGTTTTCCCACGACCACTCAATGTCTGTTGGTTAGAAGGGGAAAAAGGCACAGCAAGTTGAAGAAAGCAACTACCACGAGCAGCAGAACCCTGCCTGGCCATCGAGCAACGACCTACAGCCGTTAGGAGAGAATTATCGATTACCAGCATTGGCTGCGCCGAGCATGAAAGGGCTGGAGGGGGAGGGGTAGAGGGGAGGGGGTTAAGCCGGGTGAAGTGGACAGGACGACGATAGAACCGGCCAGCACGGGGAGAGTGGGGGGCATCGTACAGGCCAGCGATGGCGGCAAATTGAAAATGATACCGTTGGACCGAAAAGAAATCAAGCCTGCTGGCCGCCTTCTCGGTCGTGTACAGGGGGAGGGACACGAGGAGACATCAGACTAGTACTCTCGTACTCTGTGTAAAGTTGCATTAATGCTTCCGACTCCCCCCTCCTCCTCCTAAATATTTTTATTCGTTTAATACTGTTCAAAACAGTCCGTGCTTCATGTCTTCATTTCCTTCCTTTGGGTCTCTTAAAAATATTGTTCGCAAATTACTCAACCACTACCCGCAGTGTAGGTTGTGATGTGCACGCACACGGTAGCCGCACCCCTCGTCTGCACGAGTAATATACGAGGAGCTCCTCTTTTGCCACTCCCTGCCCCAACTCATCTCTCTCTCTCTCTCTCCCTCTCTCCATACACACACATACAGACGCACAACGTCCCGTGGAAAATTTATTAATACACCCCGGCAAAATAATGCGACCAAACACAGGAGAAACAAATGGATACGGTCAGACCGAGCGAGAGCCCCTGCAGGGTGGCAGGGTAGGCCAGCCCGCCACGCACGAGAATGGAGATGGTGGCCTATGCACAGGGGCTCCGAGCGAGCCCACGATAAAGTCGTTTTAAAATTGTCGTCCATTTTTAGTTTTTTTTTTCTGTTTGTGGACGGATTTTTCCCGACTTCCGCTTGACTGGTCTGGTGTCCTGTTCCAAATGTCGGACGGCGGCGGGAATGGGACACAGAGACACGATGCAGGGAGAGACTGAGGGAAAGGAACGGGAGGGAGAGAGAGGGACAGCAGGGAGAGGGGGGAGAAGGGGGTCGCTCAGGGCTGTATTTCACTGGCGTCAGCCCCACCTGGCAGCATGCACCCCGCTGCTGAGACCCACCGCGTGCGTGCCGACCCACCAGAATTAGAAATCTACTACACAGTCTTACTTTTATTTCGATCATTGGAAATATATTACGTTCCCCAAATACGAATGCGCTTCAAGTGCGGTATTCGTCGTGTACGGTTTTGATTAAATTTGATAGATTAAAAAAAAAAGAAATGTTCTAAAATGTTGAATCTGTGAAAACCTGAAAATACTGACTCTCATGTCACCCGCCTTATAGCCTTTTCTACTCCCACGACACACACTCTCCCCGTCCCTCCCTCCACCAATCTATCTCCAGCTCCCCAACCCCCTGCCAAAGAAAACCCAATAAGAGTCATAAAAGTTGTAATCAATTGCTCCAGGGGAGACCTATTCATCTGACCGCGCGCCGCAACTTTGTAAGGATGGCCGCCGCCTCAGCGTCTGAAACGGCCCGACACAACGGGGCAACGGAACAGAAGCAGATGCCGGAGCCCGCTGTATTTTTGAACGCAGCTCACGCTCTGTCAAAACAGAACTCTTTAAAGCCGACCACGCACTTGTCTCTAGCACGCGACTGAGCCAATTTTGCCACATTTTCCAGAACAAAATAACTTCTTTGGATACCTTTCGAGTACTTTTAAATAGAATTCGAACACATGCACAATGGTGCACCTATTGCACGCAGAAGTTCCCCCACTCAGAGTATGCTTTGCTTGGTGGAGGGTGGGTTCCACTGTCGAAATGAAAAAGGAAGAGGGGATAGGTGGAGACTGGAGATGCGCTCGGGCTTGAACACAATGTCATCGTAATTGCAGCTCAAAGTTGTGAAGAGGGGGTGAAAAAATGTAAATAAGCAGCAACGATGGCGGCGGTTTTACGACGTCTCGGCCGCCTTAAATATAAATTTATTCATCTCCCGTTTGAAACACAAGGAGGGTGATCAGGGGATGGTCCTCCCTTGTTCTCCAACTCATCGTGCTGCAAGGATAGAAAAATACATAGCGCGGTGTGCTCCGTGCTCGCCTCCGGGAAAATCAAGTAACCGTGCAACTTTAAAACAGTGCAAATGCATGAGTCTCTTGAGCGAGCGACTCGTTGCTTTAAATTTCGTTTCTCTTGGAAGAGCGACGATTGCTTTCGTCACTCTATTTGAGTGATGACTTCGGAACATTTCTTTACCTGAATGGCGACCGTCGCTCAAAGACAGTGATAATCCAAAACCATATCTCATCACTTTTATACGAGCTGTGAAAAAAGTTGCCACAACTCTTTGTGAAATCACTACTCTTCTTCGTTGTCAAAAATTGATAACTTCACAAATTATTACTATTGGTTCACAATTATTTCCCAGTAAGACAGCAAAATGCACTTTTTTTGACTACAAAGAAGTGTTGTGATTTCACAATTGCTTCGTATCGTGAAAAAGTTGGGAAATCACAAAATATTTCTAACAGTGCACACTTGTATCTTCTGTTTGCCACACTTTGCGCCACACTTCGGTTCGGGAGTTAAAACTCCAGCGCAATATCTACTTCACATACCTTAGAACAACCAGTCTGCCAAAGAACCGTTCAAAAGATTTTAAAATGGGGGAACAATTTGTCATATCTTGTTGAATACGAACATTGCAAGTGTACAATAACCGTGTTTGATCAGTTTGCTATAGAACTTATTTTATTAACATTTGCACACTCCTTAAACTATTTAATGGGACCACTTTGATTTCTCAGAGCATCAGACCACTTCGTCTTTAGAGCTGGGTGCATTCCCTATTCGCCCTCCAGAAGTGGTTGGTTTTGGTTTTTGTTTCTCTCCGGTCGATAGGACGGTTAGGCGGAAGGCAGGGCCGACTTACCGGTTTTTCACGCAGGCTGAGTCAGACGGTACAAGAAGTCGTCTTCTTTTTCGACGTGTGTCCTCGGGAGTAAGGATCACCGGATCCCCCCACCTGCATCCGTTGCAACAGGAGCCCCAGACGACGCCCAGCCAGCCGGGTCGCCAGCCGACCATTCTCCCAAGGTCGCGCTGTGCTGCCCATTTCCATGATGCTGGGAGTCAATGTATGCAGGCCCGGCGGTAGCGACCTGACTGCGCCTGGCTGCCATTGTACGCGCAAGGTCATCCCTCAGCGGGCTTGACCCGGCCGGGGATGAGCGCAGGAGGGTGCGGTAGGATATGTGCTCCGGGCAAGGTCACCAAAGGGACGGGCAGCCAAATAGAACAGACGAGGCAGATTCCACCCGCACCGCAGTGCGTTTAGTTAGTTGTGTCTCGAAGTCCAAGCGGTGCGGAGCTGCTGTCTCGTGTGCTGTGCAACCCTGATAGAGTCCGTGGGAGCAGATTTTAAAAATAACAATTTTGACGGTCGAAAAGGGTTGCTACATTAGCTAGTTGTTCGGCTAACGGCTGTAAATGCGGAGACGAAACGAGGGTATCGCAGCGTGCAGCGACATGACGCGATTTCAAGGGACGACTAAGCCAAACCAACTCTGAGAACATCATCATCGCCACAGGATTGCAACGATTAAGTAAGTACGCCTTCTTTGTAGAAGTGTGTGACACTTAAACACGTAGAGGTG